AACAAGAAAACGTTTCTTTGCAGAAAATAAATTTAAAAAAATGCTAATCTGGCTAAATTCAACCTTCTTGTGGGATTTACACTTTAAAAATTACAAAAGCATTTCAGGTTTGACATTCAATATTTATGAGTTTGAAAGAAGGCTGTTTCAGCTATTCCAATTACTCACCATTCCTCTCCAAAAGTTGAGGTTGTCTCTGAGGATAGTCGAAGTCTAACACCAAAGACAGGTGATGTGTCTATTGGAAGCAGTTGCATATATACTGCATGGTGTGATGTTGTTTGCTTTTCTCTTACTCTCATTTTCTTTGTATTGCTTCTGGGAGCTAAGTCTGGATTTTATTTACAGTTGCTTCATCACTTTTGAGTTATCCATCACTGCTATTTGTTGGCCAGGAGGACTTCCACATCTTTCTTTATCTTCTTTTTCCCTTCCCTCTCGTAGACTGTACCTTCCAAAATCCTGAAACTTGGGCTGCCTGGCCCTGAAGCCATTTCTATTTTTATTCTAATTTCTCTTCTACCAGACCAGATGTCACCCTTAGTTTGTCTTAAGTCTTCAGTTTCTCCCTTCAGGAAACAACTCTATTTCTAGCACAGTGTTCTCACTTGCCCTGAATACTAAGAAAAAAAAAAATAATCTATTTCACAGCTGTATATGGTCTGAAGCCCTTCAATATGGACCAACCATCTTCTATCATTGATCTCTTGTTCTTTACATATTTGTTAAATTTCTGTTTTCATGATTCAATTTTTATGTGTTTTTTTCTTGTATTTTTTAGATTTTCTTGTGAACAGGAGTTTCTGTGTTCTTTCTTATTTTGTATTTTACTGTTTGATGGTTATTCATACTGTGTTTCTATTTATTTAGCAATACCTGTTTAATAAGTTTTCTATAGATGACTTATGAAATGTCTTAATTTCTTTACTGTGTTCACTTTAAATTAAACACATGCATATTTCTATAAATATGCATACCATTTTTCATACCTCTAGCAATCTAGGAATCTTGTCTGAATTGCTGTCTTCTGTTTGCTATATCTTTCATATTAGCTCTATTCCATTTCTCATCCTTCATAGAATGATTGTATTTATTTTTTTTTTGCTACATATGATTTAATTATATAATCTGATGTCTTTTTTCCCCCCCACTGCAGTGTTATTTTGTTTACATGCTAAAGTGCAAAGGAAAGGGCATATTTTTTTTACTTAATCTGTTTCATGTGATGCAAACCAGAAATTAAACTCTTTGCAACATTATCAGAAATTTCAGCTAAATAGAAAATTGGCAGACATCCATTAGAAGGCCTAGAGCAAAATAACAAGAGGAAAAAATATAGGTCATGTGGCCAGAATGTTTTTGGAGCGATGGTGTGGTAAAAATCTTGGCTTAGCCTGATTCGACCCATGCTTGGATATGTCTCCAACTGTATGTCTTTGCCATTTTACAAGGGCTGAATACAGGTTGTTAAATTAAGTAGTAAATACTGAATGTTGAATTAAGTGGTAAAACTTCAGAGAAATCCAAGTCACCAACACCACAGAATACATAGTAGGAGTTTCCACATTGACCTAGTTCCCATTCTCATAAGGTCTGGCCACCACAGTAACTTTGTTGTATTTCATTCATTAGTGTATTCTTTTAAGAAGAAGCCAGTCTCCTTTATTGTCTCTATACCCTGATACGAATTTATTTAATAGTCCCAGATCCCAGTTCATTGATTTATGTGGTCTCTCCTCATTTCAGGCTCTGTGGCCACGCTGCCACTCTTGCTGCTTTTTATGAAACTTCAGTAGATTCAGCTGAAGCACAGGACCGTTTATAAAACCATAGAGCATGGATTGCATCAAAAATGTTAGAGCAAGTTTTCACTGCAGAAATTATGAAAATGACTTGCTGGGAGTGGGAACAAGCACAACCATGCTTAAAACTATGCTAAATAGTTATTGTTGATTTTGCTGTAGATTAACCTCAATATGCTAGCATATTTTCTGTATTTGATATGGTTGATTTAAACTGAGTTCTAAATAATTTTTAACACATCTCTAATAACATGTTTTTTTTCCAGTTTAAACTTGTCTTGGGTATACTTTGGAAAAATTTCCAATCATTTCTTCTGCCATCATGTCACCTGCTTCTTGAGGAGATTTCCTATGCAAAACATGTAATACATATGCAACGTGACATGGTTTAAGTTTACTAAATAGTCCACATTTTTTTTTCTATGTAAGAAATATATCCTCCTTTGAAGTACTAGGTCTCTGTGCTTCTTACCTGTTTTGCTACTCTTCTTTTTCTATGAATTTAACAGTATCTTTCTGGAGACCTTAAAATAAACCAGACCGAGATTGCCCTTGATGTAAGAAGGCACAACTCCTAATGAAGTCCATGGGAGTTATGTCAGTTTACCCCAAAATTAAATTTAGCCTCTCTGTTTTATTGGGGAACCAGCACACAGTGCTTCATTATATATTTACAACAGCCAAGGCCTGGTTTCGGAGGGTTAAATCTCTATGATGAGCTGTTACTAAGCATATGTTGTTTCAATAGCATGTACTTTGGAAATTTATAGCTTTTGTATGAAATGTATAGCTTTATAGGAAATGTATAGCTTTTATATGAAGATCAGTTAGTGCACATAGATTTGTTTGGTTAGCAGTGATAATTTTGATTGGTAAACCTGGATTCTTGCTTTCTCACAATATTTACTAGACAATTTAAATGCTAGAAGGGATTTGTCAAACCACCTGATATCCTCTGAAGCAAGAAACCCTGGCCCTGGAGGAAAGGCAAATGAGTAATGTAGGAGCAACCTGTTAGCAGAGCACTTGCATTCTACTTGTCTAACAGCATATACTAAGCTGTAGTTTATGTAAGAGTAGGAGGTTACATTTTAGAGATATTTTTTTCCATGAATTCTAGAGGGAGGGTTTTTTTCAGTGTGGAAAATACTTCCTGCAAAACTGGAAAAACACCCATTTAATTCTTATGTTAGGAAACTTGATTTGAACACAAAAAATGTAATCGAAGAAAACCTTTGCTTTGATCTGAAAGCTGTACAGTGAGTATTAATATGAAGATGGTTTTCTTCAGAAGCTGCACTAATCTTCTGTAGTCATATTCTTCTTTTATCAGACATGGTTTTGAGGGTAACAGTGGCTGCTTGCTTCACTGTTAATATCAGATAGGCAAATGTCTATCAGTTTGCTCCCTCTTGGGAAGTCAGATGCTTTGCTGAATCTGTGCATCTTTGGCAAGACTGACTTGCCAAGCAAGGAAACTAATCCTCATATGGAACTTACATAACTGTCACACTGTAATCTCTCTTGAAAGATAGCCAATAGTTCCTTTGTATAAATCATTATTCTTTCTAAGTTTCTCACTGAGGCTTAGCAGAGCCCAGTGAGGACACATAACACATCCCTTAAGCTTTGTGTGGACTCTTGTGCAGGTAAAGTACTTCAGTCACAAAGGGAATGTCTGGGAACTCACATATGCTTTGTCTGAGCAATGGCTATAGGTATGTGAGAGAAAGGGAGAGACTGCAAAGAGATCTGCTAAGAGGACGTGAAATACAAAATCTTTGGAGCTTTTCTGTAAGCTGCCAACTTGAAGGAGCTGTTTTAATTTCAAGGCTTGCAAATTCTCAAAGAGCACCTGTACTGAGTTTCATACCACTGATTCTGTTGACTAAAATGATCTTTTTTTGATGAGTTGACACGAAATAATAATCTGATATAGTAAGCAGTGGTGATGGTAGGTACAGTAAAGAAACATAAATTGGGCTTTGGGGAGAAGATGGGGAAGGGACACCAGAATTATTGAATATGATTACCAGTAACTTTGAAAAGTTTAGCTGATGAAGTCTCTGAGCAAATAATATATTGAACAAACCTCAGGAACACAGGAAATTTCAGAAATTATCAGATGTTTTACGTTTTGAGATGTTTACAGGGGCATTTTACATGGTTTTATGAAAGTCAGTCAATCAACTGTGCTGTTCTTGTGTGATGGAAATTCTAAGGCATAATATATTAATGCTTCACACTGCAGAGCATGCTCAGCAAGGAAATAAATATATGATGTCAGTAAAGCAATTACCATGCAGATTAAAAGTTGCCTAACTGATAGGTCTTGAATAAATGTATATAGGGAATACTTGTCCAAATGCAGCACTTTTTGTGAGGTCTTAGAGAGACCTATATGCTTAGAGTGGACAGGAGTGAAGATACGTGCTTTGGCAGCAATCTAACTTGATTGCTTGCTTTGTAATCTAAGCTTGTTTAAAAATGGGCATTTTAATGTAGCAAAACTACAGGTAACATCCAAAATTAGTGGTTGTACTTCACAGAACAATAGTTGTGAAAACAGCTTTGGTGTTGGAGTGAAGATACAACTGAACATAACTTGCCACACCAAGGCAGTGACTTAAGAGATGTAACAGTGCTTGGGTTTGTGCACCCTTTGATGTTAGATAGAACAAAATGTCAGATGTATTACATTTGCTTTTAATGTTTGTGATGTTTTTACTAAAACTGGTTTCCAGTCTGGAACCTAAGTATTGTTAAAGGCTGCTGACAAATTAGAAGGGATTCAGAGGAGTTTCAGTAATGCTTAGAAAACCTGCCTTACATCTTGGAACCGGTTTAGCCAAGATAACTTTAAGGGTTTGCTTAAAATCAAAAAGTATCTTTATGAGACAAGAAGGTAATGGGATCCAGCTATTCACGTACACAGTAAAAATAAGGTGTGGGGAGAACCACTGTTGTTGTGACCTGTTCATTTCTAATCAGCCATTACTAGAGTGTCCAGATCAGGCCAGCTCCACTACCTAGAACTGCAAATATTTTTATTGGCTTATGTGACTGTCATGCTTGTCTATGAGTAAGACAGAGTTAGCCTGGCTAATTGTAGCTGAAAGGAGTTTCTGTCTTGACGCTGTCCATAACTTATTATAGAATATTAATATTCTAAATAATTTCTTCCCTCTTTATTTATAGGGCACCAATGCCTCTGCTCTGGAAAAAGACATTGGCCCAGAGCAGTTTCCAATCAATGAACACTACTTTGGATTGGTCAATGTAAGTACCATTTTCAGCAGGCAAATGATATAGAGACCTATGGTTTTGATGTTACTTGAACTTTGGTTTCTTCTTTTTTTTTTTTTTTTTTTTCCTCCCTCAATCTTGTTCTAAGATAGGATTGCCTTTTTTTGAAAAAGTGCTGCTCACGTTCCAGTTTTAGGCAAAGTGGGTTGCGAAACTGTATCAGATGTTTGAAGATAGCTTCATATGCCCCCAGAGAAAACAGTTTTCTGAATCTTTCCAGGGATTAGAATTTACATTTCAATAAAGTTAAAAGTCTGGTTTAGCTATGAAATGTGAGGGAGGAAGTGATGGAAGTATGTACAAGCCTAAGTATAGCAGTTTGCACTGGGGACTTAGGAGGAGCTTTTTTATCTGACTGATGAGAGAATGAGTGAGAATGGCATTTAATCACTTGTTTATTCTCATATAAATTAAACCAATATAGTATTTTTTTCCATTGAAAGCATTAGTCATTCTGCTACTGAGCAGTAAGATAGAGCCCAGTGAGAGTATATTAATATATGGAAACAAGCTTAACAAGATCCACTACAATAAATATATCTCTTGCAAGTGGAAACTTTTACTTTGTATCCTAGTTAATTTAGAACGTCATAGTTTTTTTTCTGTGAAGTGTCAGGGGTGGGTGTAGAAATATATTCCTACAGCAGCTGCATGGCAAAATGGTTGGTATGTAACAGGGGCACAGAAGCCAGAAGTTGAATGAAGCAACTAGTTTTATTGTGATGCACAGGGATTAAGATTGTTTTTTTAATTTTACATGGCAGTTTGGGAACACCTGCTACTGTAACTCCGTGCTACAGGCATTGTATTTTTGCCGGCCGTTTCGGGAAAATGTATTATCATACAAGGCCCAACAGAAAAAGAAGGAAAATCTCTTGACTTGCCTGGCAGATCTTTTCCACAGTATTGCTACTCAGAAGAAGAAAGTTGGAGTTATTCCACCAAAGAAGTTCATATCAAGGTTACGGAAAGAGAATGGTAAGTGTAAAACTAGAATCCTCTTAGAAATTCATACATTGATCAGGAAAGTATAAATAAATATTGGGCAATGTGATCATATTAATCAGATGTTCCCATTAGATTTGTAAATTGCTTTTAGTGCTTTTGAGGGGTTAGATATTAATATTTTATTATCTGTGTACATGATATTATGCTTGAAATAACTGTGCCAGGTTTCAGAAGTTCCCAGAGGTGGATGAATTAATGCTCTGTTCACAGATTGAACTGTACAGTGAGCTAGGGCTAGGAATAAGGTGACACTGCTGTAATTTTTTAATTATTTTTTTGTGGAGTATGACAGAGAGAAACATTGAGGTCAGTTGGCAGTATAGAAACTGTGTGACCTAGGAGTGCTACAAAACACCCTGGAGGACAGGTAACTGTACGTATGTGGGGATGTTCAGCATGTCAACTGCTGCTCTTATTCTTAAAAGTGGTGGGCACAGTCTTACTTTGTGAAGCATGAGGCTCCTTCTGAGCATTGGGTTGGCAACACCATATGCCTAATATTGTAGTAGTTCTAAGGGACATGAAGAACATCCTGAAATAAGGAAGCCTGCCACACAGCACCATTTTGGCCTAGATTCATATCAGTGTGGGTGGCATGCTTAGAAACAGGGCAGCTTTGAATGAAGAGACAAAGTACGACTCAAACACCTGGAAGAAATTTCTTCGTGGTGACAACATATAAATGGGCAGACTGTTCATTCCAGAGCAGGCGTTTGAAAGTGTGACAAAGTTAGCTCTGAGTCATCTAGTGATAAATGCCTCCACACTGTTGGGGATCACTTTTAGGGACTGGATCTTATGTTTTCAGCTTTTTAAAATTAGGGACAGACTTGGTGTGTATTAACCCGCTTATGTGTCCAGGTTAGACACTACAAAGCCAAGGATCTGTGCAGTATTTTCTGAGGAAATCCATGTGACCTTTTTCAGGAGCAGGGGGATAAAAATACACATTTATTGGGAACACAGATTCTTTTTTCTTCAATGTGGTGGGCAAATTAAGCCTTCACTGGAGAAGTCTGTACTAAATCACCACTGAAATGTTCTCTCCTCATGCAAGCATTTCTTACTGAAGAGGACAAGTCTCTGTTCAACAGACTTGTGTGTGAAAAATGAGCTTTGTTAGATGATGTTATTATTATTATCTGTGGTGAGTTAGCCTTGGCTGACTGCCAGATGCCTACCAAGCCTGTCTCTCACCTGCCTCCTTAGCAGGACAGGGGGAGAAAATAAGATGAAAAAAACTTGTGCATTGAAATAAAGGCAGTTTAATAAAAAAAAAAGAAAAAAAAAGCAAAGGCCGCATGCAGAAGCAAAGCAAAACCAAAGGAGATTTATTCTTTATGTCTCATCATCAGGAGATTGCCAGCCACTCCCTGGGAAGCAGAGCCTTGGTATGCATAAGCATTGCTTCAGAAGTCAAGTGTCTTAATAATGAATCTCCATCTCCTTCCTTTCTCTTAGCTTTTATTGCTGAACATGAAGTCGCATGGCATGGAATATCCCTTTGGTCAGTTTGGGTTAGCTGTTCCAGCTATGTCCCCTTCCAACCTCTTGCTCACCCCCTGACTACCAGCATTTGGTGGGGGTTATGGAGATGTGGGAGAGAGAGCCTTCATATTTCATGAGGACTGCTCAGCAATAACCAAAACATTGGTGCCTTACCAATCCTGTTCTAGCCACATGTACAAAGCGCAGCTCTAGATGGGCTGCTCTGAGGAAAGGTAACTCCATCCCAGCCAGACACAGTACACTAGTATGTGTCAGCATCCAATGTCTTCAATTTCCCCAGCTGTGTGTCCTATTGTCCAAACACTGTGATGTTCCGAAGTGTCTGAGGGACTTGGAATATATGGGTGAGAGTCAGTGCTGCCTAAAGTTAAGCATCTAGTCTAAGGAATTAATTTAGGATGAGTCATCCTCTTGCTTTCTTCATTGACTGTAGTGGGAGCCTACACAACCAACTCCAAAGGAGAGTGTAACCCTTCAGACACCTACAGTTAGGTGAGATGAAGCCTTCCCCCAAAGAAGCTTTGCTGAAGCCAGCATGACTGCAAAATTGTTCCTCTTTGGCATGATTCTAAACACTTTGCTGAGCAAGGGCCAGTACATATGTTTGGAAAGAAATGATGAATTTAGTTTCCTTTCTTGAAGGAAAGGATATACTCAGCTTTAGAAATCTCAACTCTCTTCTTCTTCACAGATCTCTTTGACAACTACATGCAGCAGGATGCACATGAGTTTTTAAATTACCTGCTCAACACCATCGCAGACATTTTACAGGAGGAGAAGAAACAGGAAAAGCAAAATGGGAAACTGAAAAACGGCAACATGAATGAAGCTGAAGAGAACAATAAACAAGAACTCACCTGGGTGCATGAGATTTTTCAGGGAACACTGACTAACGAAACTAGATGTTTGAACTGTGAAACCGTAAGCATTGGGATAGATTATTTTTGTTGTTGTTGCCCATTAATAGATAGATACATTTTATATATATAAATATATGAATCTTTTCAGACATCTGAGAATTGTGGATATTCCTGTAGACTTTACTTCTTGAAGTGAGTATATTCTTTTCTAAAAATTTATTATTCTAAGCATTACTTGGCTAACCTACGCCAAGTCTTGCTGTCCTAATACCTATCTCTACAGTTAAAATCCTTGCTAGTTAATCAGTATAATTCCTTATTACTATAACTTCGGGAGAAGATATTCACATCATTATTCCACGTATAAGTAAGTGAAACATTAAGATGAATTTGGGTTAATTAAATTCTAAGAATGTGACTGGCATACAGAGGCTTTGTCATTAATAAACGGTATGTTGTTTTTTTGTTTTGTTGGGGTTTTTTTGTTTTGTTTTTTTTTATCTTTCTAATATTTTCTAGAGGATGCTGTCAGTTTGAAGTCACTTATGTCTGAAGTATAAGCAAAAATTAGTTTTAGTTAGGAAACTTGATTGCAAGTCTCCTATCGATTTCCATGGGTTTCAATCACATACTCCTACTTAAAAGGAAAAGAAATAATAATTTAAAAACCTTATCTTTGTGAGGTTGCTATGTGAAAGGGTAACACAGACAGGAAAAAAACTCTGTTTTGGGGAGAACAATGACACTGATTTTCCAAAAAGGTTGGAGTTAGCCTTACCTAGCCTTTGCTTTGTAAAACGTAGGTGTCAAGGATGAACTAGTTTTCTCAGCTCCTTCTGTAGATGATGGAGATTGCAAAGGATCTCCTCCAGGAAGCTCCATCTGTGTCTAGGCTGTTTCATGAAGCAGAAAGTTTTTAACAGTATCAGGTGGTCTGACTCCATACAGTTTATCTTGGCTCCATGGTGTTACTGAGCTGTTGCAACTGTTGTTGCAGCAAACTGATTGGCCTAAGAATAATGTATTTTTAACTCAGACCAGTACTGCCACCAAGGACTTCCTCTAAAGAAAATGCAACTTGAGATTTTCTGCATTAAGGTGGGAGAAGGTGCCCAAAAAAGGTATCTTCAGACAACAAGCTGAGGTTAAATATCTAATTTTAGACAACAGAAGTTAGGTGAGATAAACCCTTTATAGATCCTACCAGATGTGTAAAAGCACATATTCTGATATTTCTAATCATAAAGAATAGCTCTGTACTCCAAGAAAATATGACTTGGGTTTGAGTCAGAGAGGGGAGGGAAAGAGATACAGTGATATTCAACATGAAAAAAGGGGTTAGACCAAGTTTGGAAGAAGTTTGTATGAGTGAAAACACGAGAGAGATATTGAAAATTAATTACTGAATCTATTTCAACTATAAAAACCCAAGTATATAATAGCAAGTTAAAATAAGTGAAAAGATAAAATTATTTTTTAACTGACAAGCTTCTTGAAATAGTTGTGTCTTAATTCTAAATTAATATCCAGTATTTACTCAGACAAACCGTACTGAAGTCAGGATGTGCCCTTGGGTAACAGCAAAACTGCACAGTGCCCTATTTGAAATTCAAAGTGACCAAGCTTTATGGAAAAAATATCTCTAGGTACTGCTGCTGTAGGAAGGCTTGTCTGTAGCTTCCTGTGAAGGCAGAAATACTGTATACTACTTAGGATACTTTCCCATGTTGTTTTTAATGTATTGTTTTATCTTGAAATCTCTGAGAAATAGTAAAATGGACTAAAAGATGTTCCTTTGCTAAAATATTCATATGTGGTGCATGAAGAATCATTCAGACGCCAGCAGCTGTTATTCTGGTTTTCCAGTTACCCTTAGTTTTGATCTGTATTATTCTATCTCCAGCTAGCTCATCTTCCCCTTCCAGTAAATATTTGATATACTGAAATCAATAACAAAATTCCTAGCTTCTTTGTGGTATTCAGATGAAACACTACACTTGCCAAAGACTTTTCCAAGTATTCAGCCTCTTTCTTGATATGCAGAGTGTCTCATAGAACTCTAGTTCCAGCTGTAGAGACACAATGTTCTCTGAAGCTTTGTTGCTCTATCTTTCAAATTCTAGCTGTATGTTTATACTGCAGTTGATTGCTGCCAGTTTTGTGGTTTCCTGTCCCCTGTGGATTGAATCATGTCTCAGGGAGGGTTTTTGTTAGAACTGCTGTTCATTTTAATTAGGTGCACGTTCTGCCTTTGTACATCTTTGATACTATCAAAATTAATCCTGCTAAAGGTGTTCCTCTGGATTCAGGACTCATATGGGCTTCATTCACCATGCTTATAGGATCCCTGACATAACACAAAGATGAGCTGAAAGTAGCACATAACATTCACATCTGTAAAATTGCAGAAATCTGAGCACGAGTAATTTGTGTCAGAACAATGGATTAAAACCTTCACTGAAGTTCTTGATTTGAACTTCATTATCCTATCATCTGATTTAGTTATTCTGAGGAAATGCAGTCATAGGAGACAAAATATAGAGTGTTCATGCAGCATTTTATAAACAGAATTGTTTGTTATGAATATGACTAAATTCATGTGCAGTAAGTAATTCTGCAGTCTTTTTCACTCAGGTGAAGCATTACAATTACCTGTTTGAATGATTTTTTTTTTCTTTTACATCATTTTCAAGATTAAACACTAAGTGAAAAATCATTTTCAAATCAAAAATCAGTATCTGCCATTCTGAAAATGTTTGGGGTTACTTTTTTAAAATAAAAACTCTTTATTAGAATTTTTCTCCTCTTGTTCTGTCTTAAAAAACATTGGCAAAATCAAAGTGATTTTGCAAAATATTATCACTTGGCCATTTTTACCTTTAATATTTTAATTTTTAAATCAAAATTATTGATCAGGAACATCATTCAATGGGGAAATGCAACTGTCAAGGTTTATATTTCAACTAGAAATATAAATCCAGCCTTTTGAATGTTCACTGGAGAGAAAACATAACATGGTTAAATATGATATTTCTTGACAGGTGCTTATTTGGAAAATATCTTCATTGCATTCTTAATAGTGGAAATAATTATGTAGGGCACAAACTCTGATTATATAGTATAATATATTATACAAAGGGTAAATAAAATTCCAGTAAAATAATTCCAGTCTGTGTTGCGTAACAAGGGAACATGCAATGCAACAGTCACAGCTAATATAGTAGATGATGGTTCACTATTAATGAACAGTAGACTGTAGTCACTGGCCCACGGTTGGTGGGCTTGGATAAGTGGAACAGACAGAAGTTAAATTATATGAAAACTGTATTGGTAGAGTTATTAATAAATATAGTGTTAGGGAACTAGAAAAAAAATTGAAAGCATTGAAATTAATTATTTTTGTGTAATTTATTTCTGCAGAAATTGCTCTATCATTAACATTTGCACATAGATATAAGCAGCATTTAAATGTATGGCATTTTACTAAGTCTATGTTTTACATGTATATTTTTGCAACAGGTTAGTAGCAAAGATGAAGATTTTCTTGACCTTTCTGTTGATGTGGAGCAGAACACATCAATTACACACTGTCTAAGGTAAATGAATGCATCTCTTTGGCAGATAGTTCTGTCTGACTTTGCTAAACTTTCCAAGTCTACTAGGTACAGAAAAGAGAAGTAGAATAACATTGGGTTTGAGCTTTTCCCAAGCAGAAGAAAAAATACTGTAAACTGGATATTTCCTCTAGTGACAAAATATACATTAATGTATTTTATTTTCCTCACTTTCTCTTTCAATGTATGTATTAGAAAGAGAAAAAAAAATCATCTCTTGGGGAAAATAATTGATTGTGTTGTCATCTGGAATAACTGTTGCAGAATAATAATTGGCTTCAAAAGGATTTAAGTTTGCTTATCTTTAAGTTTCTATTCAAGTGCTTTGTTGATTAAGACTTATGTGCATATTAAAAGTTAAGTATGTGATCTGCAGAATAAGTGCTAGAGTCCCCAGAAGGCAAAAGATTTTAGAAGTCTGCTTTTTTGCCATATAAGTTTCTTATTCTGTGTCTCATCCTAAAATTTCAGTTTCATTTCTGCTTTTAGTACACTCTTAACTATTAAACAAATACTTCAGAGATCAAAATAATTTTCAGACTTGCATGGATGATCATTCTGAGAGATTTAAAATATCTGGAGTTTTGGCATTGATGAAATAAACCAATACCTAGATTTAGGACAATATGTTGCTGCTCTAGAGGTAATGATTAACAGTTGATCAAATTACTCTTTCAATCTCCAAAATTGTTACCAAGTTTGAAATTGCATTTAACTGTTGCTCTGGAATGCTTAGGAAGGGTTGCCTGGCATCTCATACCAAGCTGAGAGTTACAGAAAGAGAAAGCATAGGAGGTATTACCCACTTCTGAGCCAGAAAGCAGTGATTTCTCTGTGGATACCACAAGTGCACTAAGTAACTTGTGTTACATTTTGAAATGCTAGATCCAGTAAGCTTTTTTCTTTCTCAACTTCTGTTCAGTCTCCTGTAGAACACTGTAGTAGTCCTTAGCCTTCAAGTAGTTCACACTGCAGTAACTAGTGTCATTTTAAAAGATGAACAAACTGAAAGGCAGCTCTGAAAAGGAATGCATTATTTTCTTTTTTTTGTCTTGTTGTCTCTTTTTCTGCTCATGGTCACTGATAACTGAATCAGTATTGATACTACAGGCTTTTGTTTGCACACTTTTAAGTTCTTCACTGTAGTTCTTCACTGTATTTTGAACTTGTTTTTGTCAGCATTACTTACCTTTCCCTATGGTGTTCAAAAGTCAATTTGAAATCACACTCACATGCAAGGAGACTGAAGTGTGTATCTTTTCAGGTCCTTTCTAAGCTGAGTTGTTATTTGGTTCTATGATGTACAGCTACTGGAGACTGAGCACTGACTTTTTCTTACAACTTAGTCTGGTGAACTTGTTAGAAACTGTTGATGTATGTAAGTTAGCATTTGTCCTTCATCTTTCTCAAATTTTTTATTTGATTTCTTAATTGTTAAGTTTACTGGAAATGTTTTGTTTGAAAAGGCTGTCAGATGCAAAGACACAGAGTACTTCAGTAAAAGTACCAATAGCATTTCTACTAGTGAACAGCCAGTGGCTGTAGCTTATGATCTGGAAGAACTGCTTCTGCACTACTGCAACTAACAGGTGAATGGTGGAGTTGAAAGGGACCACAAGAGATTAGTCCCTACCTCCGCCTCAGACAGTGTGCTTGTCCAATCTGTTCCAAAAGATCTTTTAGCAGTAGTAGCTCAATTGCCTATTCCCAGTCCTTCCTGTTTTTACTACTAACAAGCTTTTCCCACCATGTAACATGAAATGTCTTTGTTAAAGTTCAAGCCCTTTTCTACTTGTCCTGTGTACTCTCGACGTAAATCAAGGGTTGTTCTCCTTTCTCTTAACACCAGCCTTTTACATATAGGAAGAATGCCATCACTTTCTTTCTAATTTAAACAGGCTGAAGTCATTCAACCTTTCCTTCACATTGTTTCTAGATCTCTGCTCATGTTCATTACTATTTGGCCTTCTGTCCAATTGAACCTCCCTCTTGAACTCTACATTTCTAGAATTGCAGTTGGCCAAAATTAGGCACCACATTTCATTAGAGATCTACACAGTCCTGAAAAGAATGGATGCACTAAAAGTTTGGTTATATATCCCAGTATAGTATTTGTTTTTACTCCAACAGCATGACATGCATTTTCAAGTCCACCCATTGTTCCTTTTGGAAATAAAGGGAACAAAACCTCCATTTTTTCTTTTCTTGGGGTGGGAGGTGCATGTTGCTAATTACAGATTATACAGGAAGAGAATCATCACCTATCATCTAGTCTGATTGTCTTTTACACTAGCAGCATGTCTACTTTTGTTTAGAAAACATATATTTGGTTAGAATATAGATTTCCTCTCACTGCTTTATGGTATTATGCATTATCAAAGTGTAAGTGCTTTTGTGGTTTCTGTTAATAGGAACAGCTATTTCTCTTTCTGGAAACTTTACTGCTTCAGTATTTTTAGCAACTGCTTTGCTATGTCTTTACAGCTTTAAGTGCTAGTGCTACTGCATTGAAAAGGTAAATTTAAAAAAAACCTGTTCAAGATAACATTTAAGTAGAATGTGTTTCTTTACTACTACAGATGAATGTTCTTTTTAGTTATTTCTGTAGCATTTCAGATTGAAAAGGTCCTTGTGTAGATAAGAGGTCCAAAGAACACAAGCCTCTGGCATAGTCTAACTCCACAGGGTGGACCATTGGGCCTGAAGCAATAGAAGTCTAATAACAAATATAGTACATATCTATTATTTTTATTTCCACTAGGAGCTGCAAAGTTTGCCAGTCCATTTGTTCCTGACTTTTAACTAGTTCGCCTGTGCTTTTTTATTCCACTAAGAATTCTTTCATCTCTTAAAACAGAACATTTTTATTATTTACACATATAAACAATAGAAAACTTCTTTCACACTGTAGCATAGAGGCTGTAGGGAGACATACTGTGGATGCCTGAAGCCAATGATAAATTAGTGTATCTATCTTGAGAAGGTATATTTAAAAAATTCTTTCTCCTGTTAAAATACCATACAAACAGAATGCAGATTGTCCTGTTTATGCAACAGGAAAGAATTAGAAATGTCTTGAAACTAGCTCTGCACATATAGAGAAAAGTTCCTCAAACCTATAATTCTTATATTTGTAGACTCTTCGTGAACTCCAGTCAATGATCTGTTGTTTTAACTGTTCAACATCTATTAGAAGTGCCATGCTGAAGATTCTGAATTGATGAAACAGCTACTGAAGTTGCAGTTGTAAAGGGCAGCAAAAGCATCTAAAAGCATCTAATTCTCACCTACATACCCCTCTTCCCCCAAGGAAAGAGTTATTGGTTATAAATATGCCACCAGTTTTGTTCCTGGTACAGAAGAAGGAATTAATATGATCTGAATAAGTGAGTTAGTAGTGCCTCTAAATTCCATGACGGTGCCTCTCCTGCTTTAGAAGAATAGGGTAACAACCTGCCAGGTGGAAGAAGAAGTCAAAAGAATAAAAGAACAAATGCTAAGGGACATGTAAGGGAATGTCACTCAGCTTATCAAGTATTTGCATATTTCTCCAGCTTCCACAGAAGTAATTCCCATAGCAATTGGCTTATTTAAAATGTTAGATATAATTGGTTTCAGAATAATTAATACATTTTAAAAGGAATTCAGAAACTCTTTGAGTTTAATTCATTTTCATGGGTGGTTTGGCATAAACAAGCCGGTATCTATCAAATTTCTACCATCTCTACATGTTTCTTTTTGTTAGGAAAATATTATTTCTAGTGCTTCACTTTGAGGTGGGAAGGAAGCTAGTAAGTTCCACAAGTTAGTTTGTTGTTTGTTTGTTGTTTTTTGTTTGTTTGTTTGTTTGTTTTTTTAATGGAGACTTTAGATTTTGAAAATAAACATCAGACTTTTTCCTTTACAGAAGACCTAAAACTTACACAAGCACATTCTACTGAATCTGGCAGCATTATGCTCCCCACACATATAACCTGTCTCTAATCTTTTTTAAAGTTTCATCTCTTCACTTATGATTCCCTGAAAGTTACCATGATTTTCAGAGGAAATGGCTGAATTTAGTTAATTTTGTCTTTAAATTCAAATGTGAAATCAAATATTAGAGATCCATGTTTACCACTGAAGCAAATCCTTTCCAGTGATCATGCTTTATTTCTCTTTTAGTTAAAACATTATACTTACGATCAAAGTTTTGTTGCAAGTTGTTTTTCAAGAGATGTATTTTGTCCTAAATTTCAGAACTTTCTGATCAAATTGTTTAAGACCATATAAAGAAAAATACTAGTAAAATCCTTCTCAGTTAATATAAATATTATTCAGTCATATAAAGTGCTTCTTTGTCATACCTGTCAACCTTAAAGAACTTAAAACTTGAACATGGAAAATCCTTCTCTTTTATGAAGTTATGTAAATCACTTCTAATACCTGGCAATCTGCATAGTCTGCAGCTCTCCCATCACCCCTGTGGTGATGATGCCAGGAAGAAATAATCAGACAGAATCCTCCCTTTGCCTTTGTAAGATGTTTCTGGTGCTGTCTACTGGGAGATCAGGCTGAACTTGCACAGTGTGGCTTCAGCCTCTGTGCATGTGAACTGCAATGGTAGAATGGAGTTTATTGGGTCTGAATGGGTCTGAATTTGTCTGGAGTTCAGAAGTCTATTAGGTGCAATGTAGGTGCAATCAACAGGACAGTTCTGTACTTCAGATATATCTATTTAAGTCTCAAAGTCACAAGAAAACCTGGGTGCTTGAAGTGGAAGATAGGTGCTTATGTCTGCATTTACAGTTCTCAAAACACCTGCTCAGCTACAATGTAACACTAGAGGTGACAAAAATTACTGTCTTTTTTTTTTTTTTTTTACAGCTGAGTTTTTTAAGGTACCTAAAATACTGCTTCAAAACACATCAACACTGTGACTTCCAACAAATTTTTTCTGTGAACTGAGAGAGACTCTCAAACCAGCTTTCCTCTGCCTCTCTCACTTCAAAAGCTCAATACAGAAACATTTTCAAGCATATTTACTTGATCAAGATTTACAAAATCTTCTATACTAGCTGACACTTTCCTTTTTAGACAACAAGAAGATGTAACTGTACAACTTCTGCATGAGACAATTCAAGAGATTAGAGGATAAAGAAACTGAGTTAAATTTATTTCTTCTATGTAAGAGGATTTAAACCTATCTTACAGAATAAAACCATAAAATGTGAGCTATTTGGGGATGACAGAAGTGCACTTGAAGCCGTTTCATTCTGCAAATAATTTTACAAGGGACTGGATGGGCTGAGTGACTACACCCAAATCTAGGCTGCCTCCCTTACATATAAGAGACCAGGATCTAAGTCCCATTTTAAGACACCTGGCCCTCCACCTGTATCAGATGGAGAGCCTCAGCTCCTGCTACAGGGATGTCCTAGCAGCCAGATACCTTCAATCCCTTTGCAAACCCCAGTACAGTTGCTTTAGATATTTTAGAAAACTGGACTCAGTGGAGAGAGGATTTCATCCTGTGTTGTCTTTTTAGGGATACAGTTCATCAGCCCAAGTGGGGCAAAAGCATTAAGATCCTTTAAGAACTGATAATTGTATTTGTTTACAGAGACTTCAGTAACACAGAGACACTATGTAGTGAACAGAAATACTACTGTGAAACTTGCTGCAGTAAACAAGAGGCACAGAAAAGGTAAGCAAAGAGCAGGCTATTCTACTATGTCCCTCCTGGGCTTTGACAAACATCCTCCTTGATAGTTACTGTGTTTAGATACCTCAAAGTCTTACACTGCAGCTGCATTCTCTGTGTGGGCCAGAGAACCTACAGACAGATTCACAGCTATTACATGTCTCTTAGTCCAGAAGCTACTGCTGGTTGACTAGTTACTTACAAAAAGCTTTTGTAATGCAAACATTTACTCATTAAGGAAAGACAGAATGGCTTGGCACTGGTCAGGTCTTTATCATATGCACTCTAATGGTTTCGCAGGATGAGAGTAAAAAAACTGCCAATGATCCTTGCCTTACACCTCAAGAGATTCAAGTATATGGAGCAACTGCACAGGTATACTAAGCTGTCTTATCGTGTAGTATTTCCGCTGGAGTTACGTCTCTTTAACACATCTGGTGATGCTGTCAACTTAGATCGGATGTATGACTTGGTAGCTGTTGTTGTTCACTGTGGAAGGTAAGATACTTTCATGTATATCTCAAGCTATTGCCAGACATTTTCCAAGGGCAGAGGCCTGCCTGACAAAATGTGGAGAGAGTGGGAGGGAGGACGTAAACCCTGCTGCTGCACCAACTTGCCTGTGTCTTGGCCTGAACCTCTTAGCCACCCTCTCTCATAGCAAATCTGTACTTGTTTAAAAAATAATGTCTGAGGCCTCCAAAAGTCACAAGATTGGCTTAAATTAATGGAGCTGTCTCCTTCCTCATCAGCCCACTTAGAGACCCTCTGAGCTCAGATTCTGTGAGGGCCAGACGCTGTTGGCATGTAGGCCCTACAATAGATCACCTTGACCTCCTGTCAAGGCAATGAAAATGATACCTTTAATAAAGCTTCTCACATATAGGGTATTGTCAAATATGAAACAAACAGAAAAATCCTTGGGGCTCTAGGAATGCAACTTTTTCTCCCTCTTCTCAAAGACTGTATGTAACTAAATATTCACGGTTGATACCAAACAATTTTCCCCCTTAAATTTAGTTCATAATGTTTTTAAAATATTTGCAATAGTTGATGTATGTCATAAGCAAACTGTTAAATGTTCTCCAGGTTAATTTGCAAATGGTTGTGGCACAGATGAAAACAACATATTTAGCTTTCAGTTGATGAAGTCATTGCAACAAGTCAGTAAAAAGGTGAAAGGATTCACCTTATACCACCAGGAGTGGTTCTGTTATGTTCTTCATAACAGTTATAATTCAGTCTGCTTGCATATAGAAATGTGACTTCTCCAAATGGACTCAATAATATCTGTTAATATTTTGATGTTTGTGTTTTTACTTTGCTTTCTAGTGGACCGAATCGGGGGCATTACATTACTATTGTGAAAAGTCATGGATTTTGGCTTTTGTTTGATGATGACATTGTAGAGGTCAGTATGCTAAAGGTCATGAACACAACTTTTGTATTCATGTTCTTTTCTCTATTTGGGGTTAAAATTCTGATCCAGATCGGGGTATCAATTACTAGTCTGCAAAGCCATAGTTTGGTTGTAATGTGACATTTAGCTAGCTGTTAGGAAGTAAGATTGCAAACAAAATTATTAAGCCTGTAGTTCTTACTCTGTCAGAGGGGGTTGTTTTATTTCAGGGTAATATCAAATGTTTTTAATATCACACATCAAGGTTTTAATTTGGAATGTTTCCTGTAGCTAATAAAAACAGTTTAATTCATTAAAATCTAAAACATCCAGGAATTATGTTGCAATCCTTGGCGATATCTCTTGGCAAAATAGAACTCGGTAAAGCTAGCATTTCTGTAGAATTTTAATATTTGAACAATTGGGAAGTGACAAGGAAGTCTGGATTCTGTAGCTGATCTGGGTTTGTCTGTAAATTAGAGCATGATGTGGCCCACAGCTACTACAGATTCTGTCTAAGCATTCTACTATTCATTCCAAAGGAAACCCTTTATGTCATTGTGGCACCTTGGCAAAACTGAGATCTTGAGTCTGATTTCCCAGAAGTAAATCCAATGGAGAAAGGAAGCACAGGGACATAGGATGAGGCATGTCTTGAAGAGGGTTTCTGGAAATTTCAGAAAGATGGGATCACATGGTCACGCCTATGTGTTTTAACAGTGTTCACTACCGCATTCAAAGGATTCCCTCTGTTATTGGAAAAAGCTTAATTCAGTTTGGTTCACCGAGTCAAACATTCCTATCGACTTCCATGAGTGGGACCAGTAGGGCTCAACGCCTGAACATTACCCTGTCACTGATTAAATTGCAAACAGAGTTTGCTAATTGTTACCCTGAAACAAATAACTGAATTTGTCTTTTGTGTTTATACAGTCATTTAATCCATGTTTGGTATTTCTTTTACCTAACAGCACATTAAAAATTCTTATTTATTTTTCAGAAAATAGATGCTCAAGCTATTGAAGAATTCTATGGTCTGACCTCTGATATATCAAAAAATTCAGAGTCTGGATATATTTTATTCTATCAGTCAAGAGAGTGACTTGGCAAACTGTGACAATTGGACACAATGATGCTGCACACAAAATAAGGTGATGGACACCCTTGAACTGACTTTTACAAGGACCACATCTTATATGGTTGAACAACAATACACTCTGTCTCCTATTAAATGGTCTATGTGATATTGACTATAACCGTCCTTTTTTGACATGCGGAACTTTGTTTTGGGGAGGGTGGGATTGTTTGTAGTTTTTAAGTCTGATTGAAGAGTTAATTGCAGTCAGATTTTAGTGGAATTTATATGGACTAACATTTACAGACAACAAGATTTGGATGTCAACTGTTAAACTCAATCCAGCTAGAGTAGTATTTTATATAGAAGTGTTCATTGCATTTAGGGCAAAATTGTTTAAAACTTTCTAAATGGCTTTGGGGTGTGTTGATTTACAAAACATTCCTTTAAATACATCCTGACATATACTTACCCATTTTAAGCGTAAGCAAAAAAATCTGTTTCATGATGATCAGAATTGTGGTTGCATAGGGGACTTTTTTACACGTTACTCTCTAATGCAAAAAAGATATTCTTCCAAAACCATTTAAGCTTCAGGTTGTTAAAAACTTCCAGTGCATAACTTCAGGCCTAAAACTCACATAGAGGGATTTATATTACAGTGGAACTAAGTAATTCTGTATATCCAGTCATTTTATTTATCATGAGATAGTAAAGATGAGGTGAGATTTCAGAATTTAGAGACCACTGGAATAAAGGGAGCAAGATGACACATATGACACAGAGATAAATTGCATCTATAGAGACTGAGCTTATCTTTCTGTTAAAATAATATCATAGGTTGTTTACGTAATTGAGCTTGCAGAGATTGCAACACTGCTCACGTATAACATATCCATCAGGACTGAAATTACACAGTCCATTTAAATAAGTGTTACTCGTACAACACATAAGACACAGCTTGATCCTGTGATTTTCTGAATATCTGTAGGTCCCATTTTCATTTCTTAAGAAAGAGTCAATTTCTTAGCAACATAACATAATAGGTAACAACCATTAGTTTACACACACTTCCATGTATATCATCTCTAACATTTTGGCCACGTTTGACAGCATTTGGGTCATCACAGAAACAGGGCTCTGGAGTGTCTGATTTTAAAAATCAGCAAAAGACTCAGTGCAAAAGTCTTCCTTTGAGTTTTACTGGGTGAATTTGGTTGGCACTGGTCATGCACTGGCGAATAAAATTGGTGAACTCACATAGTGGAATTTGGCGAAGAATTAATGCAGAAGCAAGTATCAATAGGGTATGAGAAGGGATCAATAGCAGGTTGAGGCAGTGTCAATGTTGGGTAACTACCCTGCTGGGTTTGATAATTTCACTCCATTACACAATTCTTGAACTTCAGTAGCCAAATTCCTATTCCAATGAAGTCAACAGAAAAAACACTCGTTGTCTTCAGGGGGACTGCCAGTTGGTTCTAGTATTTACAAGGATATATTCTCATCTCACAGAAAATTATTTCTACCTGTTAGACTTAATTTACTTTCATTAAGTATTTATTAGACAATGTAGCTTTTGGTCCTTTTTTTCTTTAAGGAGCCTGTCTGCCACTTTATGGCTAACACTCCATTTCAAGAAATGGCTTTTGAAGTGCAGTTAAATCTTATATTTCAGTCTCTGTAGGAAAGATAATAACTTTTTTTCATTGTTATCTACTGTGAATGTGAAATATTTTTTGTTAAGTAATTGCGAAAATGAAGTACCAACTTCCACTGTAACATCAGTTGAAGTTCAGTTGGATCTCTCAATGGCCATTTTGTAAACTAAGGAAATGTAGCACTTTACACTGAATGAGAAACAGAAGTGGACTTTTCATCTAACATTATTTGTGATTTATCATGTTGTTATACTGATACAAGAAAACAGATGTAGAATGTAAATTTAGAGTACTTACTTAGGTGAATAATAGTCGTGATCTGCAGGGCTCGCTCACATGAATGAAGGCTGGTATGCAGGCTCAAGACAAGCATAATTGGGATGCAGCTCTCTTTTACTGATGTTAGAATTAAATGTTCTGTCTCTAACACAGGACACAGACATCTTACAGGAGACTTCAATTCTACTGAGGTCCAGGAGCTTTTCCAGTAGAAAGATAAGCCTGCAAATCCCGCTCTAATGGATTTATTTATAAGTATTTAGAATTTCCATACAAAAATGTAATAATCACTTGCCTTTTAAATTGGGTGAGTTTCCTCATTGTGAATGAAGGCACTTTCTAGATCAACATTAACCGGTGCTGGTCCAAAGGTCTGTAATTCACAGTTTACTGCTGAACATTCTTAGGGAATTCTTCAATTTTAAAACAAGCAACAAAAAAAGATATTCTTAATGTATCATTTGAATGTTTAGGCCTCATGTTTATATGAAAGGTAAATTTTAAAAAAAAAATTTTAAATCAGTTCAATTTTAGGATGTTTTTTCCATATTTCAATTGACTTATCTGAATTTTTTTTTTTCATGTTAATAATATGAATTAATAAAGTACAGGATAATAATCTTTGGTTTTCTCCAGCTGCAAGACTGCTCTAGGTTGAAAAACATAGATAATTGCAGTATGTTATTGAGAATAAAATTACTGGAATAAACCTTTTCATAGAGTATGAAAAAACATTTTAAATTCATGCTAGCCCATTAAAAGGTCACAGCACTGGTATCACACCTGTCCAACACCGGTGGTCTGACATCAATGCTGAAAAATTGTGGAATATTCACTTTATGCTAACAGCAGCTAAACAGCAAAAGCTGTCCATCACAGCTGTATGACTCGTGCCAGTCTAGGCAGCAGAACTTCTCTTCTATGTCAAATGAAGCACGTTTGCAAGGGTTTTATAGGATTTGGATCCTCACAGAAACAATCATATGATGTGAAGTATTTTAGCTGATTAAATAAAACATAATCCTTTTTCTCTTATGCTTATGTATAGATTTCCAGTCCCTTATGAAAGAATGGAAAAATATCTAGGACAATAAAAGCTTTTCAGCCAGCAGCTAGAAAACAAAATTGAAGCACAGATGTCTAATAGTATTCTGTGCTTCTCTAAAATAGCTATTTTTATGGTGTTGGGTTCTGAGTATAGTAGGCCTAATGACACCTGAAGTTTTTCACTTGTTCCACATGCTGTTGCTGAGATGACTTGTCCATTTATAAATCTTATTACTACGGTCTTACTTAGAAAAAATAACATTTTTGTCCTGTGCTGTTTTTCCACTGAACCCAATGAAACACTGCAGTGCTGATGAATCAGTTATCTTAGAGGATGAGCTCAGACCTCAACTTTTATGTTTCACAGAACAGTCTGTCAGGATTTTATGTAAGTTCTATTTTTGGGATGTAACAGAGGGAGGCAGAAGGGAGTGATGGAGAAACCATACCAGTGAAGCAGAACACCTTGTTGAAATTAAGTCCCAAAATTACTCCTGTCAATTTTATTTTAATAATTTATTTACCTCAGAGCAGTAGATTACATCTTAAAAGTCTCGTTCCTTTGGCAGTTGGAGTAAAGACAATAAAGCAGTAAGCATTTCTTTTGCATTAGAGTTAATGAAGATATTAAAGACCTAACTAAGCTGAAACTGAAACTCACATTACATGGTGGGTCCTAAAGGGCTACTACAACCTTTTCTCTTCAGACATTACACTTCATTCACCCATCTGTTACAGGATCATGTCCTTGGGACCTGAGCCCACAACTTGCAGCTTCCAGTGATATGATGCCTCTCAGCAGCAGACCTTTCTTGTTTTGACTCTTTTTTTGCTGCTTGTGGCTAACAAGTGTGAGCAGTATTTTAAAGCTGAGCGCGTACTAGGAATTTGAAGAAGTTTTGGCTGTTTACTTGTTCTTTGCTAGTACCTTTTATCAGTGTTTGTTTTAATTTATTTCTCTTTTGTTTGTCTGTTATTGTATTTGTATAATAACTTATGTAGTTAATATTATTAGTATTATGTTTTAATTTTTATGTACTTTGATTTTTTTAAACTGTAGTCAACCCAAGCACTTTAAGCAAAAATGTCAATCTTGTGAAATTCCAATCAGCTTAACATTTTGCCTTTGTCTTTTTGCTTTTGCAGCTGTTTGCTTGTGATCCAGCAACTCTAATTACAACCCAATTGCCATGTTTAGGCTTGTAGCCCTAGTTGGGTTATAAATTTAGGAAGCCTAATTTGTTCATACATATTTGTTCATACATAACAAGGATGGAGTACTTACTGCATGTCTGCTACACATAGCAGTATGTACCTGACAAGTTGCACTCACGGTGCACATTCCACAGCTTTTTTTTTGCACTTTGCCTGCTAACCTGTCCGAGAACGACTAATACTTTAATCTGTGGCACAGTTATCAATGACTAATTTAGAAAAGCTCCACTTCTCATAGGAAAATTCTCTTTTATCAGACACAGAGTTAGCTGTCAATCAGCTGGTGATACAGGTGTTACTCTCTTTGCCATTTTATCTGTGCTCCATACAATCCCAAGTATGAATTATCTTAAGAGCTGCGATTGTTCCTGGCCCTTGTGTGAGTGCTAGCAAGAAGAGCAATATTTTTGCATCTTCCTTCTCTCCACTTGCAACCATATAAAGGGAAGAGATAATGAAGCAGGATAAGTGCTTAATGTAAAAACCCCATACTGTCTATCAAAGACACTATATGTATCTTAGAAGCCAGCACCTGTGGTGTCCATATCAGAAAGTCACCAACTTTCCGTGTTGTTAATACGAGGGTTAGTCTTAGTTTTTAGACTTCATATTCTCTCTGATCAAGTTAAAAACACGGGGATTTTTCCTGTTGCATCAATTCTGTCACTGAGGTGTTTCTTCTCAATTTAACATGACACTTAATATTTAAATAGCCCTTGGGAAGCCTCCATAGACACCCTTTTGATTTCTTTTCAGCTAACATGCATTACTTCAAAGAGATTGCTTGAACCTCTCCACACAACTTATTCGGATTAACACACTCCTTTTGCATGCAAGGTCAAATAACACCTATCAAGAGGTATGTGCCCACCTGATGGGACCATCTGGGCTAAGCCCACACCTTTTTACACAATAATGACTCTTTATCCCCTAGGAGATTTTCTTGATGGCTTTGACTGAATGATTTAATATGAAACCACACATAACTGCGTTTATTCATGGGCTCAGAGTTGCTATAATTCTTTAATAACTCTGCTTCATTTGGTTATCAAGACTGGGACTATTGCACAATGTTAAATAAATTAATTTGTGTGTGCCGCTCACAGTGGTCAATTTAACAGTCTAATGCTTCTGATGAAGGCTGCTGCAGGTGGCAACTTCACTATATGCAAGAACATTAGAGAATAAGTGACTTCTGTGATAGCACGGTAGGTCTGTAGGAGGAGCTGGACTGGCATGCAGCTTCCTAACCCTCAGCTTGTACCCAGATGAAGTTGGTGCTCCATCCTCTAGATAATCCTAACCCTTCTCCTAGGGGTTCCAAAATGGCAGGAACAAACCCTTTGCGAAGACACCTTGCAGTTCACCCAAACATCTTGTTTGCCACAGTAGATAATTAATGAATATTTGCAACCTCTCTCTCCCCACTCCCCCAAACCCTCATTAATAGGTATATATTCCTTAAAGAAACTGAGCTTAAACATCAGCTTTGTATTTCCAATGGTGTTCATATTTGCAAATGTCCCAAGACGGACTGTGTTCACACAGTACACTGTTTCCTAGTCCTCTCTCAACTCTCATTCTAATTGCAAGAGCAACACCAGTGCAGCCATGGTACAGGTTCACGTGTTTTCCTGGAGACAGTTTTCTAGCTTCAGTGGCTTTTGCTAAAGAAGACCTAACACAAGCTCCATAACTTATCTATGACTCTTTAGGAATAAAGTCACCATATGTTGTATGAATATGAGAGTAGAGTAGGGGGAAGAAGAAAGAGAAGAGGTAGAAATATGGAAAGGGCTGGGTTTTCAGAGGTTTTGAATATGTATATCTGTTTGTAAATACATAATTCCTCTCTACCTTGTCAAAACAATGCAATCATAATAAAACTACTTAAATATTTTGTGCTAGTTTTTTAAATGGAGTAAGAGGTAATAAAACTATTAGGCACAAAATCGGGGACTTATAAAAATACTGAATTTCTAGTAAAGCGTACAATACACGGTGTATGTGTACGGTTGAGTCTCTGCTCTTTTTAATCATGTACATGTAATTAAACCCTGCACTACCTGCAGTACTGTAAGATAAATCCCATGTTGGTTATTAAGGTTGTAACATTTAAAAACCAGTATTTTCTCCTTTTAACATGTTTATATTTTACATAAAATAAACTCCCTAGCTGATCTTGATTCCATTCAACTTGCTTTGAATTCAGCTGGAGCCAGACTGAGGCTGTACACTGATGTTGGTTGTTATATAACACGCTTCTGAATGTCAGGTATCTGTATTCTTACAGATGGCAAGACTGTTGATGCTTGCTTTTTATTTCATTTAATGGAGTCATTGCATTTTAAGTGACTCCAGAAAATATTTCACCGCCTGGGCTAACTGCCTCTGAAGTGTCTTAAGGTAACAAATTTTGCATGCAGTTCATGAGTTGTCTTGATGGAATATAAATACAATTGCGTGACTGAGCTGTACCTAGTTAAAGCACATTACTGACCTTGCCAGTGTTACTGAGAACAGCTAAAACTGAACAGAGTAAAAAGCAACCAGAATTGAACTACTTTTTGCATTGGGGAGCAAAGAGTATCCCAAGCCCTTTAGCCTGGGAATTTCCCCGTGACTACTGGAGTGGGAAAAGTTTTTGCTAATGAGGTCTAAAATTCTGCCAGAGGACTGAAAGGTTCCTGCAGTTTGCTCATTTTCCTGAAGTTATTCATCAGCAAACACAATTTCACAAAAGTGAGGTAAATTAAAAGCTGAAGTTTCTGGCTCTTGTCTAAATGGATTCTTGTTGTTCCTTCAGAATCATTTAGAGAATCAACATCAAATGTGACTGTCAAGCTGCATGTTAACTCTATAGCTAACATGACATAAGATTTATGGCACATCAGACTGTCAAAGGACTAAGTTGAAAAACACATCTTACAGTACGTATTTCCTCTCAAAACCCCTGAACCTTCAAATTTATTCATAGATTATTAGAACATAAGCTTTTAACTGCAGGATGGAGACAGAAATTTAAAACAGAGGAGATGACTGAAATTAAAAAATTACAAATCCATACTTTTAAAACATCTTAGAGAAATAAAATGTATAGTATACATATAAAGAAACCAATAAAAGTTTTCCAGGATCAGGGTTCACAATCACTGCATGTGGGCTCTGCTAGAATTGCTCTCACTTCAAGAAGGCATTTTCCCAGAAGCTGTATGATGTTTACCTATGTCTCTGTTTCTTATTTTTTAATATGAGTTAGATTAATCATTTTAAATTAGATTGGGTTGTGTTCTGTGTACCAGATAAACAGAGAAATGTTAAAAGTGAATTTCATCTTGATTGAAAACTCGGGCATGGTAGGAGAAAATTATAAGATTCCTCATTTAAACATGCTCACCAGACTTGAAACAACATTTATTAGACATGACTAAATATATGACATGGAAAACCATGTTTGTGGATATGTCAATTTCCTTGAATGTCTGTGTGCAATTTAAAAATCAAGTAACAACCATTTTCAAGACACGTAAATATATATATATGGTAACAGAACATTTAAATTATTTGTTCTGAAAAATGTTCCTCTTTACTTATTAATTTTATAACAAATAGTAGAAGATTATTCCATTGCCTTGTTAAATTCACCCACCCTTACTGTGCATGTCTCATTTGGCTGCTCTACTGTGACCTGAGAACTTCAGGCTTTCCTTGGCCCAAAGAGATTGTAGCCACACGTCCTTGCTGTCTTTAGGAGATTTCTGTGGCGCAGGCTGTGGGGCCAGCAATCCCCTGAAGACCTGGACCTTCCTGGATCCTTTCTCCCAGGGCAGACCAGACCAGTGGTGGCTCCAAACCTCCACACCCAAGAAGCTTCAATATACATTTTCCCCAAGATCATCTTTCCATGAACACATGGTGCATGATTTTTGTATTATTTCCAGCACAGAATCACTTTGCTTTACATACATTAACAGATCTAGAAAAAAAGATAAACATCCATATGTACTCTCCTGCTTCAGTTTGCTCATGTGAGCTGAACCTAAGAAGATTCCTTTAATGAATCAATCCAAGACTTTTCTGAACTACAACATCTTTTCCTTTTTTTTTTTTTTTTTCCACGTTTCCCTTCCCCATATTCTTACATGGCTGGGGGGAGGCACTCTCAGTTCACTTTGTCACAGCAGGTGTCTACTACTCTGAGCACAATATTAGTGTTTGGATGTGAAGGACGGGCTTGCTGTGAAGGAAGCCATTGGTGGCATTCACCGCTGTAAAGAGTGATCATTATCAAAGTGAACATACTCTTTGCCTATATCAGTTCAACCAGCTATGAACAGTTCACCTGCTGCTAATTGCATTTCATCACACCATGAATACAGGAACAGCAAAGAGGACAACAACCTGGAGGTTGCAGGTTGCCCCAGGTTGCATGGAGAAACCAGGATCAAACAGAATTCAAGAGGTGGGGACTGATAGACATTTTTTGCCAAATCACTGCAAGGGTAAAATAAAGAGGTCAATACTAGAATGAAATTTGGAATAAGCCAGAGTGAAACATTATCCTTGGATTCCATTTCACATACATAGGAGGAAAAATATTCAAGTCTTGGTCCCAAACAGCAAAGATATTGAAACAAAAGATACAGATTTCACCCAACATTGCAAACTAGACATCATAAACACATAGGCATCAACCAAGAAACTATCTGATAGAGACCAAATTCTACTGTCAATCACTCAGTGCAGCTGTAAAGAAGCTCCAGACAGGTTTACAGTTTTACACTGGGATTAGTAATAACAGAAACTGAAATAAAGTTTCTTACAACGTCCTCATAAAACTTTTGGTGTGCAGAGCAGTGTTTTCTGTGCAGCTGTAAGACATGGCTATATGTGGAACACTGTAAGCACGGGAGAAGAACTACAAGTGGGATTATGTCTGCTCTAGAAAAACATGGTTCAAGAGCAAAACCAAAATCTTGCGCCTTACTTAGTCACTAGTCATATAATTCTCACTGTCATTTATGAAGCATTTTTCATCTTTAATATAGTTTACCAGATAACTTCTCAACTCTTAATCTGGTGAAAATTGTAGAAATTGGGTAATATGTACAAAACCTCCTACGCATTTTAGATATCTACAACTTGAGCTAAATCTGGGCACACCTCAGCTAGACCAGTTTAAACAGTAGGAACATTTTCACTGGCTCCTCAGCAGCTGCCTTGATGACCTATTCACTTCTGGATTCAGTTCAAAGTGCAGATCTTGTAACACATCGCTCCAGTATAACCTGATCCCTTGCTATCTCTCAAACAGCTTGTCTTGCCTGGAATGCACTGAGGCAGCTGAGGTTACTCAGGAAATTTGTCATAAGAGCATTTTACCTTTCAAGGAATGGATTAGCTTTCTTTTGCCCCCTAGTAATTGTTAATTATTATACACTAGCAGGAAATATTAGGTAAAGCAAGGATGATGTCATTTATTTGGTTTATTTCTATTTCTTCACTCTGGATATTTCTAGTTACATTTTCAGATGAACAAAAGTATTCTGAGGTAAGGTCATTGAAGTTTTGACTGTTCTAATTCTGCAAGATGAGTAGTTCAGGCAGAGACCAGCGTTGGTTAAGATGCCAGAATGGCACTCGGTTGCCCCTCAGAAGCTGGCCTTGAGGACGAAGAGAACCCAAAAGGTAAACAGCATTCTTCCCCCTAACCTTTACAGCTACGATATTTTTAAATGCTTAAGCACAGGTTGCTAATTCTACTGTTGACATATATGGGGATATTTCTGGACATACTTACATCACTATGCTGCAGCGTGGTTTCAACCAACATTGAATTAACCACACTTTTGCAATAACATGCTTCAGAGTACTGTTTAATATTTATATCAAACTGTATTTTACCATGGCTTAGAGAAGGTGGTGCATGAAATCTAAAAGCTTTTCTTTATGGCAATGTTATACATTTATACTAATTTATTGTTCCCAAATGCAGTTACAGAGGATGAGAAAAGACAATCAGTTTATCATAAAGAGGTACTGCAGAAAATAGACTGTGCACAGCTAGCATTTGGTGTGCTAACAGCAGTGAATAAACTCTTGTTGTTTAGTAGGTTTGTTTAGTTGTCATGACACCTGTAAAAGAAATGTACCTATAGAACGTTTCCTTAATATACTGAATCTCTTGCCTTCATCCTTGTGCAATCAATCCCCACCTTCAGATACTGAGCTGAAAACAAACCACTCCATTCACCATGCTCTACATACAACTGAACTTCAGTTATACAAAGGTATTTTACTCAAAATCCCTGTAATATGAAAATAAGCCTTATCCCCCAGGCAAAACATTGTTTATCTTGAAACTCTGTTAAATCTGAATTCATGCAATCATTTCTTAATGAAAAAAAAAAAAAAAACAAGATGCAGGTTCCCTGGCACAATTTCAAGTGACATTGTGCCCCCTTTTCATTGTTTTGGTTTGATTTCTTTTTTTCCCCATAAGCCATGATGCATGGACTTCTTTATTTTTCCTATTACTCCTGTAATTTTGGACAGTATCTTCTACCATTTTATCTCTCACTGAATGGAAGAGTTCTTAACTTCTCTCTCTTTGAGGGATTGCAATACCAGTCCACTAGCTACAGTGAATTTTGCAATCATTTACTATCCAAAATTATAGGGTACATTCATAGGACTTATCCTTCAGGAGAGGATGTTCAGGAAAGCAACAAGGTCTATAGACTGAACATGAGAGTCTGTGATTTCCAATCTCATCCCTATCGAGAACTCATTGTGTTACATGGGACAAATAATGCCCCTCTCTCTTCCTCTATTTTGCACCTAGAAAATGTGTATGCCAATATTTATCTATCTCAGAGAACTATGGAACTTAGGTTGGAATAGAGGCTGCAACCTCAGGTACTCTCGTATGCACAATAACTAGGTTATAATGGGATATTTTTTCCTTTTCAGGCAGTCTTCTTTTAATAACTGCAGCACTCCCTTCAAGGGGGGAGATCTGCAGACAGTAAGACTAGCTGACCTTTATTTGACAGATAAAGATCTTTACAAAGAGATCAAACAACTGTCCAGAGGTGGCAGGAATTAGTTCAGTGATGCAAATATACTCCAAGTTTGTCCTGAAAGATCAGTATTATTGAATTTTATTTCCAAGCAACATACCCTA